CACACACACACACTCACACTCACACTCACACTCACACTCACACTCACACACACACACACACACACACACACACACACACACACACACACACACACACACACACACACACACACACACACACACACACACACAGTTTTAGACATACCTTAGGTTTCAAAAACATCATTTTTCTTTTAATCTATGCACTGCTTTGTCAGCTAATTGTTTAAAGTGTTCTGTAACTAATATGAACCTCTCAGTTGCTTCTGGAGTCCACCTTTCCCTTCTCTTCATCCCAGACGTATCCATATGATTGAAGAGAGAGCATTAAATCAATTAATCAATTCTTTATGCTTCCTAATGTTCTTAAAATTGAAAACTAAGCCTAGCATCATATTAAAGTAAGAAAGTTCATACCTTAATTTTCTGTACACATTTCGCCAGGAATACTGTTTCAGATATGATTTCTTCAGAATCTCGTGTTAATGGACTGTCTCTTAAACTTTCTATTAATTCTTGTGATGTGCTTGGTCTGCAATGCAGTGATGGTTCTGTCCTCTGCTGCTGATATGAAGGTCCTGATCTCTGGATTTCTGGGCGTGTGGGAAAGGGTTTAAAAATCTATAGGGTGGAAGCTGAGGCGTGTCTTGTCTTTTTATTGGTGAAAAAATCTGTGGTACTTTGAAACATTTCTGTGCAATGTTCCTCTTCACACACAACTGTTATATGTTGTGTAGGGTAGCGTTTGGAGTGAATCATGCACTCATTCCTGTAAAAAAAATGTCCAAAATATAATACAAATATTCAACACTCACCCTTCATATCCCTATATAAATAATATAGAAGACAGTACTACAGATATTACATATAGAATTGTGGTCCAGTATAAAATTTACTTTATCCTGGATTTGCATTCAGACACTACGTTGTTAAAAGATTTTTCTGACAAATTATGTTAATTTTTTCAAAGACTGGAGAAGAGATGATTGTTATTGAAAGTTGTAGTCAGTCACTCAAGATGCAGTTTGATCTTCATATAACAATTACTAAGCCCCAGTATGCCTACTGATAAGGCAAACATGTTTATTTATGAAATATTCAATTTTGTTCATGATGCCAATGTTATATTTATTGTAGTAAAATGGTAAACAAAACTAATATAACAACTGTAAAACCTATCTGTTTTACAACACTCACCAGTTAATATCCATTGCGCTGTTGCATCAGTTCCCTTATTAGTAGGCCTACTGATAAGGGAAACATGTTTAAGAAATATTATGTTTTCCTTGATGACAAGGTAATATTTGTAGTAGTAAAATGGGTAACAAAACCGCCGTAACAACTCTAAAACCTATCTATTTTACAATGACACTGAAGTACAAAAATGACATTCACCAATCAATATCCATGTTCACGAGGTCCATAGGAGAGTATACTTGCAAATTTTGTAGTAAAGTAGTTTTAAAAAAACTCAGCACATAATTCTTATTTAAAACATTGGTTAATAATTGATTTAAGACGTCAACTTTTGTGACCTTGACCATATATTATTTTGTTTCACAAACCTGGAAATACGAGTTCCTTGCCTGCAGCCTCTGAACTTCAAAGATTCCTTGTGGGACTTCTTTGGTTTTTATATTCATTAGTGTAAGTTATTTCCTTTATCAGAACATTTGATCCGTTATGTCAATATATAGTTTCAGAATAAAAATTTAGTATGAAAATTCTAAGACAATCGGCGTTATTGCCAAAAATACCTCTAAATGGCAATCGATGGCACCTGTGAAGTTCATGACGGACTTATGACGTACAGTACATGATTGGTGGGATTAACTTTTCTCTTCCGCGCATGAGTAGGATTAAAAAATGAGCTCAAAAGTAAAGCCTGGTCCGGAGGTGCGTTAAAAATTGATCCTGGATGTTGCACTAGATTTGAATTAAACTTTAATACTGGATTAACTTTTATGGAACGTCTGTACAGAAGACGTCCATGAAAACAAAAACCTCGTATACCTTGAAACCAGCATTTGAAAAAATACTATTATGTAATTATTTTGTCCATCTGCTTATCCTCCTCCTCATCATCATGACTGTCATTATTGTTACCATTACCATAATCATGATCATAATCTCAATCCCATAATCATAATCGTAATGTTTATCATAATCATAATCATTATTGTTATCATTATCATTATCATAATTATAATCATACTCATACTCATAATCATAATTATTATCAAGAAAATAATTAAGATAATGATAATGATGATGATGATAATAATGTTAATAATCAAAATCATTATTATTATTATTATTATCATAATGATAGTGATAACAATAATAACAATGATAATGATGATGATAAATATAATAACAGTTTTGATGATGATGATGTAGAAGATAATTTTAAAAAGAATTAAAGGTAAAAGTGAAATAAAGTTATAAAATCCTTTCAAATAAATAATAATAATCACTTATCACATATGACTTAACAAAGAAAGGTTTCAAAAGAAATAAATATACTGCCATGAAATATATTTCAGTCTTCTCAACAATGCATTGACAATCAACGATGAAAAAGATAAACTATGAACAAAATTACATGGTATGATTTATTTTATATTTACTGCTTTGCTTTGTCAAATAAATAGTGTTTTATGATGTATGAACTGTACAACTAGTCATTAACATGTGTACTCAAAATGCTGCAAAACATATATATATTCTCTTTTTATTCAAAGCACCACTACAGAACCAAACCATATGTAAAAAATATTTACATTTCTGCAACCATTGTTGAAAAAAATGCTGAACATATTCAACACTGATTAACAAAACAAGGCTTAACAATACAATTTACCAAATTTCACTTCATTCTAAAATATTTTCAATGGATTCTGAAATATTGCATCTGGAAACGAATGATTTCTGAGCCCATTCTATTTGATATAAGACTCGAAAGTATTTTCCTTAAATTCCCAAACCCTTTATTCATCATTATGAGTATTTGATTTCTTAAATGTTACAGCAATCTCCTTGACTTTGGGTGTCAGGCTCTCCAACTGAAGCTTGATATCTCCCAAGGTGTTCTCATCATCTTTGGCGACCAGCGACTTTATCACCAAATCTGCAAAGGCAAAATGATCAGCAATACATAACAGAACGAAATGACTCTACCACAGTAACAGAGTAGAGACAATATGGCTGTGATGTCTTGAGGAAGACTAAACTTAAACCATAGAGCAATCTAATTGAATAGTACATATCATAAATGGTTCCCTATTGCATCACTGACTTGAACTTTAAACAATCTTATTTACAATGAACAGAGAAATTATAAAGCATTAAAGTAAGTAAGGAAAAAAATAAAAATAAAAATAACAGTTTCTATTACTCCTCTTCCTCTCCCTCCTTACCTTGGTAATCCTGCAGGATAGCATACTGATCTGCTGGTAGGCTACTCTTTACATATGATAAGATATGAGGCACAAATTTCCCTGAGGCATGTAGCATATTCCCTGTGACAGATTGGAAAAGCAACAGACATGCCAAGTGCAGCGTCAGAGGTGCATCAAGCGACCCATCCAGCTGGTCCAACAGAGCACACCGGTGGTTTTGTAACACTTGCCTGGAAAGAGGTAGGGAAAAAGTAATGACCTGATAATTTTTTTTTTTTTTTTTTTTTTTTTTCAGTTTCCTTATTCTATCCTTGGATAATGAAAACATATATATTACTGCTAACACTTATATACAGAAATCATGATAATGATAAGATCAAAATAATAATAATGAAGGATATAATCATAATAATAATAATGTAGGAGATAACCACTGTAATAATAAAAATAAGGAAGGAGATAATCATAATCATAATAATAATAATATTATGAATATCATGATTATTATCTTTAATACTACTACTACTACTATTTCTATTACTATTATCATTATCAATATTATCATGATGATTGTATATAATAATAATAATAAATAATAATAATAATAATAATAATCAATAATAGTAGTAATATAATAGTAATAATAATATAATAATAATATAATAATAGTAATAATAATAGTAATAATAATTATAATAATAATATAGTAATAGTAATAAATAAATATAATAATATAATAATAATATAATATAATAAATGATAATGAATAATGATAATGATAATGATAATGATAATGATATGATAATGATAATGATAATGATAATGATAATGATAATGATAATGATATAATAATAATATAATATAATAATAATAATAATATGGTCTAAAATAATAATAATAATGGTCAAAACAATACAGTTAACAATGTAGCACATGAAGGGTATGTTTTGAAATTTCATACAAAATGTAAAATAAAGAAAAAAAATGTTTGATATTAGACTATATGGCTTTGTTATGGTGATTAATAATTCTGAAAGTATTTTAACTTGGCTTAAACACAAAATTAACTGTCCCTATTCACAAAAAGTAAATATAATACATCATAACTATTTTAAAACTATCAAAAATTATAAAATAATTAACATACAACAGATATAGAAGTACACACATACTTGTCGCTCTTATCCTACACTAATTAAGCTTACACTATATTATATGTTGATATACTAGCATTAACATAATGACAAAGTGTAATGGCAGACATCCCTGAAATTCCTAAATATTAATACTCCCCACTCAAAAGAAAAAGACAGACACCAATGTACATCATGAATTTCGAGTGCTACTGGCTCAATATTCCTATAGGCCAGAGCAGAATATTGAAAGATAAATACTCCTATGACCAACAACCCTTCCACAGTAGTATTCTAGTTTGACACAGTAGGGCATCTGGACTAAGGACAGACCTTAGGATACCAAGGATGCCAGGGACACACATCCCTAAATCATTAGTACCATACTCTTTTTTTTATTCTTTTCTTTCCTCTTATCTCTCTTTCATTTATTCATTCAATTACTCTCTTACCCTTTTTCTGCATACCTGGCATATGAATTATAGGTATCCTTAGCTTCCCATAAGTTCAGGATCAATTTAATTTTACAGTTCAAATTGTTGTGATTTATCTCTAGGGTAATTTCCATCTAAACTCCTATCCACACGTTTATAATATCGTTCAATGATACAAAAGAAAAGTTTTTAGGAAAAATCAGAATGGGACTGGTCATCACCTTTAAAATTTGTAAATTCCATATTTTGATTTCTTGTTTTCATACACTTAATTATATAATCCAAACAAACTCATGTATGTTAAGAACCAACAGTAAGAGTAATGCAAGATTATATTTTGTTCCCCTTTTCATGAGATTCTTTCCCCTTGTCTTAAATTATAGAGAAAAACAAAGTCCTACACAAAGGATAACACAAACATCTTGTGCAAGATTACCGATCCTTTTTGTTGTCCTTCTTCTTGAGCATAAGACCAGCGGAAGCAATGGCTTCATCAGCTGCATCCATGAACTCATCAATGTCTGAAGCTGCTAGTGTCTTGTGGGCTGTCATCATCACCTCCTTCGTGTCATCTGGCAAGTTTTTGATGACACTCTGCCTAATCTGTAATAGGTTTGGATCAGATATTCAGTTGTTAAATTCATGTTCACTGACGAATCTGCTACAACCTGTATACCAGACATCCAGTGATCGTTGATAAATCATTGCTGTTTTTCTTTTTAACACCAGAGTTTCATGCCAGGTTATAATGGTTATGCTCATAATATTAAGGTTAAGTCAAATTCTACAGTTTGTGGTAAGTGACATATGAAGTATTACATATAATTTGTTCTTAAATAAGCTAGCCTTCTCATAACAAGCAAATGAAATTGTTCCTTCCATTTCCCTTCTCTCATTTTGTTATATCCATCTGTATCTCTCTATTTCTTCCTCTTCTATGGTACTTCTGTATTGATGGTCACTTGAAAGGTATTTAGTGATGAATAATTTAAGGCTTTTGCATGAAATATTAAAATTATCATTAAACAATGGCTATGTGTTGTTTGTTAATATTTTTTCCATTCTCTATTCATCCTCTAGCATCTTAGCAACTGCAATATCTTATACAATAAAGATTAAAAAAAAAAGTTTAGGCCTACCTCTGGTGTGATATCCTTATCTTTTGAAATGTCCAGATGGCTTTCATCTGCTAAGTAGATAAGCAACTCATTGATGATTTCAGAACACTGAGTTTTCAACAGATGTTTTTTCAACTGTATCTGTTTATCTTCATCAAAGACCTAAAAGATAAAAGAGGAAAGATATTGCATAAATTCATTGACAAAATGAATACAATATATCATATACTGTCACAATTACCTGAATTCAAATATCATACAAATCCCAATGTAAACAGACCTTTAGACTCTTTTCTGCCAGACGTATAGTTGTAAGTAAAGCAGACACTTTCTCCACAAGCTGTTGGTGCGTTTTCTTGCGAGCATCACTTCCTGCAGAGACTGTTGCCAAGAATGCTGTTTGTGCCACATCCTGGAACTGGCGAGTCAGTCCTGGATTGAGTTCTGATGCCAGAGCCTCCACTAACTCTTCTGGACAATCAACCAATTCTGGGAAGTTGGATATTTCCGTCTGCAAGTCCTCAAGTGAAAGGAATTCTACATGGGGGAATTTTCCACTGCCAGATGACTGTGGAGGAGGCGTGTCATCCTCAGAGTCTGAGTCCCTGGATGCACCTTTCCTGCCTTTGTGCTTGTTTTTTACTGCCTTTGTCTTTGTCTCTCGGCCTTGTGTGCCTCCCCCAGACTTTCCACCTGTTGCTTTCTTTCTGCGTTCATCTTTTTTATTTTTGCCACTTTCATCCTTTGTCTTTCCTGTGTTAATCTAGAAAAAAATTTGATGATGAAAAAAAAAAAAAAAAAAAAAAAATGAACACTATAATCTTGTCACCAAACTAGAACAAAAAATCAGATGATGTTAAAGTTCCTTGTATAATAAGCAAGCAGCTGAACTAACCTGTACTTTAAACACTCCTTGTTCAATAGCCTCCTTTGCCCTTGCTGGCATCAGCTGCTGTAGTTCATTGGCGAGTTTCGTTACCATTTGTTCACTTACAACAATGGTATCACACAGAACTCTTGAAGATGTTTTTGACTTGGTGTCTTGACGCTTCTTGAGGGCAATTTCCACTAGTTGGTTGCCCTCCTCAGGTGAGAACATAGATGGAAGGATGGGCTACAAAAACATTACCAAGATATGAACAGAAATACAAATACAGTAATCAGGTCATCTGTATGTAATAAATATTACCATAATAAGAAAGCCTACACTGAAATAATAAAAAAGAAGTGTTAATACTTGTAATGATTGCAGTAATTTCTAGTATCACTATCTCATTGTGGCAAACAACTAAACATCCACATTAATTAATATACCAAATATCTTCCCATTCATATAAGATAATACTGCAAATATCTAAACATTCATATTCATAATCAATAGGAAAATCAATGTACATCAAAATGGCACACATGACAGCATCACAGTATTACTATGTATCCACTGTTATAAATAAGGATAATCATTTATGGCATATGTCAAAACTGCTTACTGTTACTATATTCACTAAATAACTAAATCAAAGGAAGTATTTTATGCTCCTTTGATTTCTGAGTTAATAGGTCACTACTAATATTCTATTAAACATAACAACGCATTTCAAATGCTTCAAACAATGTAATATTTGCCTATTACAAATATCCAACATCTGCACTTGAGATTAAAGTATCAGTGTAGATTACTGCTTTTTAAGTTTGAGAACAATGTGTATATAAATCAGTGTACATTACTTACATAAACATCTACCCATTTTCCAGATATAACAGCATCACTGATAGCACCTTCTATCTGGTCAATGAGCACTGGCCCAACACATACATTTCCCACGAAGGTCATTTCCACATCCTTCAAGTGCCGTCGAACAAAGGCCTCAGGATTCTCAATGCCTATACGTCGAAGCCCATCCAACTCTTTAGGGAAAAAAAATATCAATCTTTAGACCTTAAATTTTTTATAAAAGTTTTGGAAAGTATTTAGAGGAAATCAATGGCCCCTAAACTAATAACAGTGGCATTCATATTATTTTTGAAGGTAAATTTTAGAAAAAACAAAACATTTCATCTTATGGTGCATTCAATCTGGATATATAGGAGGTCCTGCCCTGTAATTATACTGCTGGCAGGTCTGTATAATGATTGATAGTTAATTAAGATATTTGATTCAATTTCAGTAAAAGCATCTGATTCTTAAATCACATTTTACATTAAACAACAGATTGAAACAATACCAGTGGTGAGTGGTGACAAGACTCTGTGCCTCCCCTTTGCAAAGTTATTTTGTGTAAACCTTTTTTTATCCTTCTTGTCATTTTAAAATGTCCAGATTAGTCTTTTGATTTGTTTTATCCAGGTGGTAATATCTTATTTTCCTTACATAGACTCCATATCATTACTCTATGTAGTAAATAACTCAGTGCAAAAAAAAAGAAAAAAAAAAGGAACATTTGGTTATTTGTCATATATCTTATTTTTTCATAATTTTCAATTTTCCGTAATACAACCAACGCCACCAATCACAGTGGCTTGAAATACAATGCGCAACATGGAAATGGTGTCCTCCTTGGAGCTGGTGCTCTTCCACACCTTGCATTCCACATTCATTTATCAATGTGAATAATGCTTAAGCCCCCTTCTAAATGCCAAGTGAGTCAAATCACACTCCAAGAGGTTTGTGCACTTGTAGTGTGTCTTTTCCGTCTCCTTGGCCTTCACTCATGATGCTAAGTTCCCATCACCCAGCCCTCAGTCATATTGTCCAATGACAGCATGTTCAAATTACCTGGCCCTCAACCCAGATTTATCCATGATGGGTCCATAACGTCTTCTGGATCGTAGGGGTTGATTTTTGTTGGATTTCTTTTTTTGCTTAAATATGGTTAGCAGGGCTAGTTGGCAGGGTTACATCACATTTGATCATTAATCTTAAAATTAGTCTCATAACATCTTATCTTCTTATCAAGCCTACATTTTCATTTATTAAAATTACACTTCTCATAAACTATTAATATGCTACTGACATATGGGAAGTATGTAAATGTCATGGGATTACAGGAATCGTTTCATATAGTATGTACATCCTTGTCTGCCTTAAGACATGCACACTATACACTTGTTCACTTGTTTGGGCCATTACTACTAAGAGCAGGATGATACAGTTGAGTGTCTAGTTCCTCAATTTCAGTAAAAGCATTAAGTGCAAAGGCTCTAGTGATCACTTGACACTGCCCCACTATTGGTGGCTTACAGTAGTATAAATCTGGACAGAATGTATCTAATATTTATGCATGGAAAAAGCTCCATTTTGTAAGACACGATCAGTGTCATCTAAATATTTAATAATTCTAAAAGCTAGTAACACAGTGTTTAGTAACACCAAATACTGATCTCTTCGGCAAAGTAAAGGTACACAAATCATCTACTCTTAACTTACCAAGATACCCATTTTGCTTCCAGAAATTATCTACCCATTCCTTTTGGGTGCGAGAATAAATGTGGGGTATATACATGGACATGTGAAGCTGCCGGTTGCCCGTCAAGATCCCAAGCACTCGTCCTGTGGCTATCAATTTTTCTGCAACATCTGCAAGTTAAAAAACTATTAGCATGGCTTGTATTATATCACCCCCTCCTCCCAAAAAAGAAGCAGAAATCACAAGAGCTCTAAATATGTAGCTTAAGACTTTAAAAACTGCTAAGTAAACCTTTGCTAACTACAATTTTGAAATTAACCATATTATACATATCATAGGATTTTTTCCCCCTTCTTTTTAATTATTTGTGGAGTATTAATATCTATTCTACCTTTAAGTCTTTACCCAATTGAGATCTCAAAACTTTATTCTATTAATCCTGGAAGAATAACTGGGACAAAAATATGAATTTGTCCTTTTTGTCTTAAGTAGGGTACCCAGCAGTAACTGGTCAAGGTGCAATTCATA